AGCTCAAGCTCGGATGAAGAAGCCCTCGTCTGCATGGAGCGCAGAGTTGAGAAGTCCAACCGTGAGGAAGGTGGACTATGTTAGAAGATGATACTCTCTGCCTAATGGCCAAAGATGATGCTGATCAAGAGGTAACCTCACAAACCTCCTGCTCATCTTCTTATAGCACACCAACTTCTGAAAATCTTTTTGACCAGTTCAAAAAGATGATGAAAGACTTTGAGGAGATAAATCTCAAACACACATCCTTAACAGAAGAGAACAAACTATTGAGTGAAGAGAATCTCAAGTTGACTGAAAGTCGGAATAGTCAACTGAATGAGATCACTCAACTCAAGACTGAAAATGAATCTCTCTCTGAAAAGGTAAAATCCCTTAACAAAGAGCTAGGGATACTCAAGTCCCAAGAAGTAGTGAACAAGCTGCTTGAAACGACCAAACATAAGGATCACAAAGGACTTGGGTTTGACTCCTCTAGTTCCAAAAGGAAAGGGAAGACAACTTTCATCCCTCCTAAACCTACTGCCAAATCTAATAAGCAGAAAGGGAAGGAAAAGGAGAAACCAACAAAAGTTCCCAAAAAGGTAGTCCCTCCTAAGAATTATAGGAAGCTAGACAGACCTCAAAAAGGAAACAATTTCAGAAGAAAACCTTCTAACTCCCAATATACATGAGGCTATACTCATTATGGGGAAGACAGAAGTTTTCCAAGAGAGTCTGAGTGGAGAACTATGCCAAGATATAGTCATCCTCCACCCCAGAAACTATTTGTGCCACCTAAGTATGCTTATAATCAACACAGGTCACACTATGCACAACCTAGACAAAACTATAGGTCTTATCAACCTAGGTCTGCTAGGAGGAAACAGGAAATTGCACCTCCTGCACATAGGAAGTTTTATGCCTTCAACTATGATTACAATCCCAACAAGTTTAGAGCTACAAGGAAAATTTCCTGCAACTTTAAACTTGATGTAGGGACACACACCATTAACCATTTCGGACCCAAACTGAAATGGGTACCAAAATCTTCCCCCTAATGCAGGAAGCCGCTAAGTACCCAGGTGTCTGGTACTTAGACAGTGGCTGCTCAAGACACATGACGGGTGATGCGAGCCTTTTGAGCAATCTAATTCCCTATGATGGTACAAGGGTTACTTTTGGAGGAAGCAACGATTTTGGCCTTACTAAAGGGCTAGGAAATCTGGTGTACAAGGGACTAACCATCCAAGCTGTATCTTATGTTGAAGGACTCAATTATAACCTTCTTAGCATAAGTCAGTTTTGTGATAAAGGTTACTCCTTGGAATTCTGCAAGGACATGGCATCTCTCAAGAACATCTCCAC